AACACAGTAACTGGATTACTTGTATTGAGTCTTAAAGGCACAATATGTAAGATTTTTGTATTAAAATATCCAATAACCACTAGAAAAGTGTTATATATTTTGCTGACTCGTGTACTTACATTGTCCCAAATCTTTCGAAGAATGTTTAAATCCAGAGAAATAAGCAATTTTAACTAGTGACACGGAGCGTGTCCATAGTGTCATTGTGTCACCTGCCAATGACGTCATAACCCCTCGATTTCCGGTTTTGTTTTGTAGAAAACATGGAAACACCAAAGACGCTTTAATATGTTGTGCATTTTAATAGACCGGTGATGACCGCACAGAGTAGCATAATAACAGAACTTTCAAACGTATCTAGTATGATAAAACAGCGCTGCTTTCCCCCACATACACACGACCAGAAGGAGTGGAAACGGTCGACTGTGGCATAATAAAAGCTCCACTGCTTTCGAGCCATGTGTCGCGCTCGTTCAGCGGCCGCGTTTCGCTTCGACGGCTTTCAGCCTCACCCTGCTTCATACTACTACGTTAATAAATCATTAGCTCATCCATGAACATGATTTCTGCCCCGAGTCCCGTCGGATTGCATCGGCTGTGGGGATGAAGACGACAACTCCCATGATTCCACACTCAGTCACGGCGTCATCAAACTACGCCTTTGTCTATTTGTTTATTTTGAATACGTGCCCTCCAGCGGCGAAAATTACATATTGTGCCTTTAAGGTCAAATGTTAGTCAAAGTTTACATTTTCAAGGGCAGCTGGCCATTTGCATTCTTCAGCTCACACAGAGATAATCCATCCACAATCTCCCTCGTTTGACTCTCCAGTCACATTTTGGCAACGTGTCAGTTGGAGGCCACCCAGTAACGTACAATAGCGACGGCCTGCCACCTGGCCTTACATTCTGTTAGTGACACACTGACAGACCCACCAGCATTGACTGTAGATGGTAAAAGAGCTACTCTCTCTCTCACACACATGCGCGCGTGCGTGCACACACACACATTTGCTCATGTTGTTTTTATCACTGATACCATTTTCTCTTATTTCAGGTTAAACAGTTATGCTGTGTCGATAGCATCAATGGCATGCCAATGAAATCACAGAAACCCACAATGCTTGCCTCATAGACTTCCATTGTAAGTTCACTACAGTAAATGCATTTTCGGTTTGTTTTACTCACTGCACATACTGACAGTAAAGCTACACTTGTAACCTGAAATATTCATTTACATACTGACTGGAGCTTATGATTATGATGATGAGCTTATGATAGAGAGAGAGAGAGAGACAGACAGACAGACAGACAGATAGATAGATAGATAGATAGATGTCATCCAGATATTGTATTTTCTATTTTACACACAATTGCATATTGTCCACAGTACCACAATTTAAGGGGGTCTGAATACTTTCCGTACCCACTGTATATAGTAAGAATAGCAGTATGCTACTCTACACATAGTAACTGTATACGTAAACTCTGACTGTTATGTAGTTCTTCTGTTTTCCATAGTCCAAATGGCCCTGAAGGGATAACAGTAGACTGCGAGAATGTTTGTATATGTGTGTGTAGCCAAACAAATGCACAAGCATACCAACAAGATAAATATAAAGACCCTCGCTGCAGGATTTCATGCCATATTTAACAGTAAAAAAATATGACTGCTGCTGATAAAACTGCTGTGTGTTCCCAAATGATTGACACTTTACATTAGAGCCGTCATACCATCCTGTCATCACACTAGAGCAACAGCCTCCCCAGCAACAGTGACACATACTGTACACACTCACACACATATATGGTTACAATAAAAAGGTTCTGTCAATCCTAGCTAACTTTTGAGGGCAAATTTGACCCCAAAGTAAAGCCACACACTTGTGTTCATGCATACAGCATCAGCTCCTGCCAGGGTTTCTCTAGTGAATAAAAACAAACATGGTTTTATAGTGGTTCCACATTGAAGCGCTTCTGTCTCTGGTGGTCGGATCATGTGACCTCAGTCCTCTGCTCTTCTGCTGCTACTGCCTTTGTCTCATAGCTGAAATTCCTCCTCACTAAACATAGATGCATCCATTCTCAATGGTGCATTTTGGATACGGATCAGAATGAGTTTCACAATGTTGTCTTCAAAAAATATTTTATTGCTCATAAGTCGCTGTTCATAGCTCAGGAGACTCAGGTGAGTTCTCAGACATGCATCAGAATTACTTATGAGAAATGAAAATTAAAAAAATAAGACAATCGCTGACCTACTGTAAGACATTAGAGCAAACTGGAAGAAAAATATTGAAGTTCAAATCAAAATCTCTGACGTTTGATTGCACAAATCAAAACACTTTTTTGGCATTGTTGAAATCTCTTCTAGTAAGAAACAAGAAGACAGATATTAATAAATGCATAAAATATTAAACAACCTGATAACCTGGAATACAAAGATAATAAATAGAAAGTACAATAAAATATTATATAATTGTGACTAATATAAATTACAGACACTGTTAATATATATTGTTGAATGTGAATTAATATATGCAAAATACAAATAAGAAAAGTAAAAAAAAAAAAAAAAGATTTTATATGCATTGACATATAAACCTGATGACCTGGTTTTTAAATATAAAAAATACTAGTAAATATAAATATTGCACATATATCAAATAAATACAAACAGTCTATTTTGTAAAACTTATATTTTTCATGCACTTATTCGTTATGTTTTGTTGAATATTAAGAGTGTCTGTACTCCATGTCTCTGCACAGCGTTTATTTTTTTATTTATTTTTTTCCAGTGTGTTTTATTGGTGCACAGCGTTTTCCTGGTGACTGGGAGAACTATGTCATGGAGAATTTTAATGCGCTTGTTATGGAGGTCCAAGAAGCCACATGAATTTTGAATAAACTGCCAGGAACTGCTTCAGAAGGTTGTTAAAAAGATATATTACAACAGATCTGTTTCAAGCTCTTTAATGCAACAGAAATGCTTTTTAGATTAAAATTTATTTAATCCGTCAGGAATACCAAACCCCAGTGAGTTTACAGTAAATGAGATACAACAAGCTACAATTGTTTTGAAGTGATGAGTCTAAATTTAGTTACATGCAAGATTGCGGAAGTGAAAACTGGAAAAATAGGACAAAACACAGCCAGAGCACTGAGGTGTTGGGGCATGTTTTCTGTATCCATCTTTAGGTCATTACAATATGCAATATCTTTACATAAGGACAATAACCCACATCTTAAATATGCAGAACCACAAAATCATTTACAGGTCAAAAGTTCACCTTCATTAAAATTATATTTATTTTAGAAACAGCAACAAACACTGTTTGTTTCAACAAACACCTCTGAAATTAAAAAAATTAATTTCCTGTAGTAGATATTAATTAAGAGTAACTCAATGTAATATGCAACGTAACTAATTTATATATGTATGAAATTATATGATAAAAAAAAAAAATGAAATTGATACAAAATAGGGCCTGAAAAAAATTGATAGTCCTCAGACAGACAGACAGACAGACAGACACAGACTGACTGACAGACAGATAAATACTCACCATGTTAAGTGTGTTAACTGTTCATCACAGAGAAATCGTGTAAGTAAAAGTAAAAGTAAATGAATTACAAATTAATTTGAGGAATGCAGTCTCTAAAAGGCCCTATCTAGATGATTTATAGGGGTTAATTGTGGTTCGGCCAAAGGATGAGCTCCATTTAGGCTTAAGGGTAAAAAAAAACATTGTTTGAATTATGTCACCGTTAAAAATAGTTCATTGCTAAGCACCATCTGTGAACACATCACATACTGGGAGGCACCATGCTGGAGTAAATCTGTCTTCCAATTCAGGTCAATAAATCATAGAAAAATACGTTTATTTCTGTACAATGATGCATGCACATGCATGAGTGGCCTGTGTGTCACATGTCCTGTAAACTTGGCATATGTGAACTCATACAGACATGAATTATAAATGTGCTTCTGGCTCCAGGCTGGGTTTCCTGTGGAATCGTTTGATTACAGCTCTTATTCGTGCACATAGATTCTACAACAACACTGCATAATAAGCTGTGGCATTCAAGCATTTTGTTCCACTCAAAAAGATGAGCATTATTGCGAAATGTTGAGCCGCTCAAAATACGCACAAGACATTTGCACATCGAATAAGCATGCAGTTTATGACATTTACCTGATAAAAGAACAGTTTAAGGCGTCTACATGAGCTTACATGCTGTCGGGAATAATCGGTGTAAGATCCTGCATGTAAAAGCGCTTATTGTTTAAAATATCACAGAATTGGACAACACTTATTTGCATATTGTTTATACGCTGCACATTGGGATGTACAACTGGAATAGGAGAAAGCATTTTACATTGAAAAACACACAGCACACTTAAGATATAATAAATATTTTAAAAAAAACACACACACAAAAAAGGAAGAATCTTCCATAGGCATTAAAAGTTGTAAGTTATTAGTTAAACAGGCAAACAAACAAATAAAGTACACACATTGTATATGAAATTTTCGCCACTGTAATAATTTCATATAATAATTAATTTTAATATTAATATTAATTTGTATACTGTATTATGTTATAATCAGTTTGTATTATATTTTATTGTTTTATTTAATTATAAATTATGATAATAAAATTATTATAATAAATATGAATATATGAATATAATCTGATTATAGCATAATTGTGAAAAAACATTGTTTCTTACATAAAAATGAATTGGTTTAAATAGTAAAATTACAGATGTATGAACATAAATAAATAATATAGACACACCGTATATTTTATGGTATAAAATAATCACCACTGTAATAATACTGTAAAGACAAATAAATAATATATAAATATTCATTTTGATAAATATATTAATTTATGTAATATTTATTTAAAATTTTTTTTTTACAATTATTATGAAATAAATACTTTTTAAAAATGCTTCTTACATACAAAGGATACAAAATAGTAAAGCTGACTGCAGATCATAATTACAGTTCCCTCTATAAACATATGATTCATGCATTTAATGTCATTTTTGGGTAATTACATATCAGCATCAGCACCACACCAAGAAGAAAATGTGAGCCGCTGTTACATGTGCAGACTGGTTGAACATCAAGTGCTCAGTGTATGATGAGGCACGTACTTGCTCGTGACAGAAGGCAAATATTTTCTGACCTCCATACCAGGTCTCTCCCGTTTGCAGCCCCCAACATTTGAAGGATTGTAAAAGGTCACGCAGGTTTTGCCCCATGGGCCTTGACCTTATTGAAAACTCATGTTTTTTTCCCCCAGTTTTCCCTGAACCAGCCCCGTGCATTAGTGTCCAGTTTTAAGAGGTCCATAATCCAGGCATCTTTTTGTGCCCCTTCCATGAACTCTGACAGGGATATTTGACCTGTAAATGAAGAGGAAGAGTCTTTAATGAATTCCTACATCAACCCCACCCCTCTCTCTCTCTCTCTCTCTCTCTCTCTCTCTCTGACCACCGACAGGCTTAATTTAGCAACAGTCTAAGCCTACATATATTTAGGCTGCCACACATGGGATTATTATATAAGGCTGTTTACTTATCGATTTGGTCCTGTGGATTTTTAGAAAGTAAATAACCTTTTGACACACCCATAGGTTTATTTACTTTGTCTATCAGTGTCCAAAAGAGTATCTAATATCTACATAAATTTCAGGAGATTTCATACATTTTTCTAATGCAACAAATATAATTTCCAGTTTCCACCACATCTCAAATGATTTATTGTGTGTTTTCTGTGATGGAAATGACATATTAAACATTTATGGAATAAAATAGCAGATGTCTTATTTTTGCTAGTTTAAATAATATTTTCAAACTCCTTGCTATGTTTTAAAATGATCAAAATAATAGAAATGATAATTTTTTGAAGGAAATGATACTGTATCTTTGGTGGAAATGACATCACAACGGTTGGATAGTCATGCTTTGTTTACATAAATCATTTGACGCAAATGGTTTAAGCTTAATTCACGGTTTAAATATTCATCGTTTTTAAAAATGTAACATTTAATATTTTTTCATTAGTAATTTATATATATACACACACACACAAATTAATTATGAAATTATTTATTATGAAATGATTTTCATTTATTATTAAATAATTTATATAAATATATACACACATACATATATAAAAATTTTTTTTTTCATAATTAAATCGAACTATTTCCAATTAATGTGACCTTAATGTAAGCAAATAAAACCAACCATGGGATATAAGTATACTCATAGTTGAAGATAACAAGATTGATATGCAACAATATAAATGGTCAACCCATCTTCTGCACTTTGCTGTTGGATACATTATATGGTCAAAACTGAATAATTCCAGTAATGACAAATCTTAATGTATACAATGACAGTATAAGAAATTTAAGAAATATACCGAGTTTGCTGTAGAACACCTTGAATAGCATTCACAAAGCCCCGACAAGAATCCCACTAAACAGCTTTGGGATGAACTGGAAGGCTGTCTGTAAGCCAGACCCCATCAACCAACATTAGCCCTTGACCTCACTGTTGCCCTCCAACAGAAGCAAATCCCTAAATAGACATGCAACATCTAGTGGAAAGCCTTCCTAGAAAAGTGAAAGCCTATGGCTCGAAATAAATTTTTTTATCAAGCTGTTATGAATGTGTTGTCTGCATACATTTGGCATGATAATAGCTGTTTACCCCCAGATATTACCTGTTTTAGTCTTTAACTATTTATTTGAGAAAGGAAAAATAGGCACTTACCATCATTGTTTTCATCCAAAAGTTTGAATATCCTGTCGCAAACTGCGCTGGGTGTCATGTGGATGTGGTTTTTCTTAAGTTGGCAAATTACCTAGAAGCAAAAAGTGAGAAACCCATCAGAAGAGGGAATAAAAAATAAGAATGGTGAGACTCAAGATCACTCTTACCTTTATAACACGTTTGACTTCTTGTCTGTCCAACTTTCCACTGTCATTTCTGTCGTAGACTTTAAAAGACCATTTCAGTCTGTCCTCCAGTTTTCCTCTCAGAACCAGGTGGACAGCTGCTACAAATTCCATAAAGTCTATAACATCATCCTGCAAATAGACACGAATGATTTCCAGCTGATCACACATGCAAATAATCACAGATTATGCATAGAAATTGCTGCTTTGCAATCAGCACTCAATTTTGAAGGAAATTAGAAACTTGCATTTTAACATTTTTAAATAAGTTATGTAAAAATAGTTGACCTTTTCAACTCTTACACTTACCCTGTTTGTGTCAAAAGATCTGAAGAGGGTTTCCATGTACAAAGCCTCATCTTCTGATGTGCTCTGAACTCCGAAGATCTTGCGGAATTCATGAAGATGCAGGGCTCCACTTGGGCACTCTCTCATGAATTTGGTATAAAGAGGCTGGATGTCTGCTAGTTCCACTTCCTTATCTTCATCGCTTTGAATTTGACCCATCTTTGTCTAAAACTCACAATGTCGATTGCATGAAAATGGCCACGATAACTGAGGCGAACGTGCTGTGCTGCATTCTCCTCGCAAGTAAACTGATGTAATCCACTTACAACTAGAAACGTGTTGTCTTACTATGAACACACTGGTATTTTTAGAAGGTGTAAATCTCATTTGCTCTTTGATCTGACATGCAGAATTATCACGGTGAAACTTCATGATCTAATAAATGATAACTCTAATATGAACTTAACAGTTAGAGAACGATGAGTCATGTCTCAAACTCTTTTTATTAATTAGACCCCATTAGTGAGATGAGGTCTTGTTAAAATAATATAAATAATATGTACATGTATATAAATGTTAAATACTCCAAATTATTTTATATTATATATATATATATATATATATATATACAGTATATATATATATATTATAAATTAGCATCAAATAAAGTACAACAAATACTATCATGGTGTAAAAATACCTTTTTATACAATTTACTTATATAATTTATTGTGTAAAGGTGAAATATAAGCCAGACAATAAATAAATAAAATTACAACAAATACAAAAAATCATATTATATTATATTAATACTATCACTTGAATAATACTTACTTCACATATTATTTTTGTTGCATTACATAATTTGTTTTTGTATACCCATACCTGTTTTAACATCCTTTGTTTGTGAGATTCGCCCATCTATATCAAGATGGCGGCACAACATTTAAAAAAAAAAAAAAATCAAGCTAACACCTCTCAGCCACTTGTCTGAGTCTCTCTAAATGATTCCTTATTCATGAGTCATAGTTAATTAGATCAGCGGTCCAACATTCTCAATTTGACCTATCGGTAAGCCCCTGCCCTGGAACGTAGATGAGCCAATGGCAGTCGAGTATCAGTTGCACGGGGAGCGGAATACGCAGCATGCACGATACAAGGAAATGGTCAGTAACATCATCACTTTGAGGTACGATATCTATATCAGTAAGATCAATTCCATGCGATATAATTAAATCTAGCGTATGATTAAAACGATGAGTGGGCCCGGTGACGTTTTGCTTGACTCCAAAAGAGTTTATTAGGTCAGTAAACGCAAGTCCTAATGCATCATTTGTATTATCAACGTGAATGTTAAAATTTCCGACAATTAGCGCTTTATCAACAGTAACCAATAGGTCTGAGAGGAAATCTGCAAATTCTTTTAGGAAATCTGTATATGGCCCTGGTGGTCTATACACAGTAGCCAGAGCAAGAGATACGATAGATTTCTTTTGCATATCTGACAGTGTAACATTAAGCATTAGTATTTCGAATGAGTTAAACCTGTATCCTGTCTTCTGAGTAACATTGAGAATATCACTATATATTGTTGCAACACCGCCGCCACGACCAGTCTGACGGGGCTCATGCTTATAACAGTAGCTTGGTGGAGTAGACTCATTTAGACCAATATAATCATTTGGTTTTAGCCAGTTTTCAGTCAAGCAGAGTACATCAAAGCTATTATCTGTGATCATTTCATTTACAATAACTGCATTGAGTGCGAGTAATCTAATGTTTAGGAGCTCAAACTTTAAAAATTGTTTTTGTTCATTTATTTTAAATTTTTCTGGTTTAATCACGATAAGATTTTTTCTAGATCCTGCATTAAATTTATATTTTGACCTCACTATTCGGGGAACAGACACAGTCTTTATAGATTGGACAGCACAAGTACTTCTATCATTTAAGCGGGTAGAACACAAGTCATCAGGGCATTACAATTTATTATTTGTTAATTAGGTCAACAAAGACTTCAAATATAGTAGCATTAAGGGGGAAAAACAAAACCAGAAAAATACAGTTTTTAATGACTGGAAAAATATGCCATATGGTAAGAGTAGCATTATAATTTAATATTTGCTAAACAGGTCAAGTCCATTTATGCCCTCTTTCCACAACATTTCTGAACACCGTTTTAACAGCAAAGCTTAATGCCTTGACCAGTGAACTCTGGCCTAAATGCAGAATCACATCAATTTCACTTCCGGCCAATAAAACCTAAATCCACCCCCGTTTCACCTCTAGTCTTCTTTTGATGAGGTGATATATTATTTAGCAGCATGTAAGAAATAGTTTGTCAGGACAGACAGTGGAGACATAAAAGGTTTCTTACCTTTTCTCAGCTGTCATTAATGTCAGTGTAATCCTCCACTCTGAATCACCACAATCCCACATGCTCATAAAACACAGGACTGTAGGCAAACATATTTATAAAACACAAAAAAAAGGTGTAGCTAATTTGTGGCAATGCATTTTTTTATAAAAACAAAAAAGTAAATTAAAAAACAAAAATGTGTATTGTGACACTAATCTTTTACAAACTAATTTAGGTCTGAACCTGTTTATACAGTCTATGGTCTGAACATACATTGTGTCCCCCTAAAATATATATCTTTTTTTCCAAAAGAAACCTTCCAAAACTGCACAAAATGAAGCCTTAAACCATAAAAACTTCTACAATTTTTCACATGCATGTAAACACCATATTACTTGCTCTGTTTTCATTTTTTCAGTTTTGTAATATTGCAAATACAAACAGGCCTAAAGTTTGATTTTGAGAAACACGCAAAAAATTGCCAAATAGCTATGCAACTATATCGCACAAATCAGACATAAAAATGTTGTTTCAGTCCCTAATGAAACATTTACTATCGTGCATTATATCAAAATACCGTAGTAACTGCAGTTCTTCAACAGTCAGCGTCAGTGAGTATAATTAACGCGCTGCCGCCCCCTATCGAGCAACAGCCTCCCCAAATTCCGTAAACATCCCGACGTCACTTCCGCTTACATTCGCATGAAAAACATAGCAAACGCTGAATTTTATTTCGTATAAACGCTATTTCCATTCTATAGCCTTGTGCGTTCATCATTATTGAAGTGCAGAGACGCGCTTTCTAAAGCACGGCTGTATTAATAGCCTCAGTAATGAAGGTGAGTGGACTTGGTTTGTTTTGCGTGACAGTATAAAGCCAAACCTGTTCTTACCTGATTCTGCACGGACACGAACTGTTGAATATTTATATTTATATTTACACAAGGACCTTGTTGATACTGTGCCATTAAATGCGGTTACGTCGGATGGATGCTGTGTTATCTCGCTCTGATACATAGATAGGCTGTAATAAAACCCTAAACGGGGCAGCTGACATTAAGTCGATGCCTAGATATAATATTACATCAGCATGATAGTGCAAAATACACTGTATAAGCTATGCAATTTTACTTTTATTTATTTTTGCAGCCGTAGAGTTTATGATTTTAGCTGTATCAGAGGCTGTAAAAGGGAAGAGATGATGATGATGATGATTATTATTGTAGGTCATTCCTGCTATGCAGTATCTTTTGCTCTCTATAACTTTGCAGAAAGGAGTAAGTTTTGTTTGCAGGATGTATTCATGTAAATTTGCTTAGCAGACTTTCAGAAATGTGTCATGGTGAAGCCCAAACATCTTAACTTCAAAAATTACAGCTTGATTTGACAAGAATGCCTGACAAGATGCAAATAAAATCAGTTGTTTAGTAAGGGATTGACAAATTAAATTACGTGAGGGTTTAAACTTGAAATGAATTTTGATATTTGATACATGATGGGATGTTTTAGAGTGGAAACATCCAACGGATACTACAAAACATCACAGAAATATCAAATCCATTGCTACTTACTCGTGCTTATGCTGCTGTTTTCCCACCAAAATGATGTAACTTCCTGCAAGATGATGTTATCCTCGTTTATCAATTTGACTCAGTGTCACATTAGTTCAACTTGAAATGAATTTTGATATTTGATACATGATGGGATGTTTTAGAGTGGAAACATCCAACGGATACTACAAAACATCACAGAAATATCAAATCCATTGCTACTTACTCGTGCTTATGCTGCTGTTTTCCCACCAAAATGATGTCACTTCCTGCAAGATGATGTTATCCTCGTTTATCAATTTGACTCAAAAATAACAAATGTAATGTAAAAATAATTGTTATTCAAACAAATATACATTTTTAAGATGCAGAGTTTAACATTTTATCCGATTAATGCTAAGACTCGATGGGAACATGAAAATGTACTGCATAACAGTAATGACTGTTATTGTTTGCATTGTAGCGTGTGTATTTATGTATACTATTGACAGTGTGAACGGTATAATTATGTTAATTGAAGGGCCCGAGTGCAGAGACTGAGGTGATCGAGGAAGCACCTGCTGACCCTAATAATGAAGAACTTCCACCTTACCTGCGTGAAGAACCACCTGAGGGTATGTTCAGCCTTATTGATTCTTTCAGAGTATTTTGTTCGTAAATATTAATTCAAATATGTTATTGAATGGATTTCTATTGTTGTAATGTTTGCATGATTTTTTTTTAATCAACAAACAAGGTTTTGGTAAATGAATGAATAAAGGAAAATGTATGTTTTTCATCTTATAAGTCAATTTTTTTGCCCTCACTGGTTTATTTTTGGGGGTTCCATGGTGTAACAAATAGCTTTTCAAATGTATAAACGTCTAGATATAATTCTTTTGTCATTTTTAAAATTTCTAAAGGAATATGTATTTGCAACGAAGATACTTTTGGTTCTTGAATATGAAAAAGTTTGGAGTTGGTAAGTTTTTTTTTTTTTTTTTTTTTTTTTTTTTTTTAAACCAAGGCTGCATATTTTTAAAAATAAAATGTACAGTAAAAAGAATAATATTGTTAAAATTTAACTTATTACACTTTAAAATAATTGTTTTCTGTTTTAGTTTATTTTCAGTGTTATGCGATCCTTCAGTAATCATTCAAGACACATTTCTTAATATTTTAAAATTTTTAGTATTTAATATTAATATTGAAAGTTGTGCTGCTTAATATTTTATTTTCAGGATTTTCTGATGAATAGAAAGTTCAAAAGCATTTATATGAAATAGAAGTGTTTTTTGTCACTATAAATGTTTTTTACTGTCACTTTTGATCAGTTTAATGCATCCTTGGTTGAAAAAAATAAATATTAATGTCTTAAAAAAAAATTCTGACCTCAAACTTTTGAACGACAGCATATATTTGTATTTGGAAAGCTTAGTA